TACATTATTAAAAGGGAGTCTGTCATATCTTTTGTTACTCTAAAACCAGATTGAAGTGCAAAATTTTGTACAATATGAAAAAAAACAATATGGGAAATAAAAAAAACTTACTTTGCCATCTTTGTCTTGTGTATCAAAAGTTTTTAGAAACTCTCCTAAACATTGATCTTCAGACCATTCTCCATTTAAATATTTGGGATGTTTTTTAACACTATAGACACCTTTCAAATCATCTGTCGTTATAATTCCATCACCAGATTTATCTAACTTGGTAAACGCTCGATGAATCAAATTCTTTCTTGTGTTACTCATTGGAGGCTAAAATAGTATTTACATCTTCTTTCAAATACAGATCTTAAAAAAATAGATTAGAAACCACACCCACCACTTGTTCAACGTTACTATGCTATGACCATGCTATGACCATACTATGACCATGCTATGACTATGCTATGACTATGCTATGACTATGCTATGACCATGCTATGACCATGCTATGACCATGCTATGACCATGCTAATGATGTCATGTTATATGAGCTTACAATGAACATAAAATTTAAGAATTTTAAACTTGACCAAGAAGATCATATATTCATCAGTAGATATACCTGGTGTCATAAATAACATTACAGGATCCTTATATAATCCGATAAATCCAAAAAACTTAGTAATTATCCATAAATATGCAATTAACTATTGAAAAACACTTAATATTAAGATTAAGCGTTTTTATGAATTTTCCAATTTTCTAGATTTGACAAGGATTCTGTTGTAACTTTATGACACCAAGTAAGTTCACTGATGAATATATACTCATATTGACCATTTTCGAGAACTTTCATTTTCATTCTAAGACGTAGTATCACTATAACTGACCATGCTAAAGAACAATATGATTAAAGAAAACAGCTCCAATTGGCTGCTTAGAGGCATGAGGGAAGGGGGCAATCCAACACACAAGAATTCAGCCATGTCTATATTCATAATTCATATCATTAAAATTACACTGATGTGCATTTGCATTTATCTGCAGCAAAAAAAAAGAAAAAATTTCTTTATACTAACACGTAAATGAACTAAAAACTCATCGAAATCAATGGTTCCACTTCCATCTTTATCAAAAGTTGTAAATAATTCTTGGACTGTTTCTTCTTTAATTTCTGTTANACCGTAATCAGAGATTCCTTTTTTAAATTCTTTAAAATCTAACGAACGACTTTCATCATCATCCATAATCTTAAATGTTCTGGAAAAAAATTAATAAAATTTATGATATTGAAATTTGTGAT